ACTATGTAGACCAGGATGGCCTCAAAAAGAGATCCACCTGCCTCTACCTCCCAAGTGCTGGGATTAGAAGTGTGTGCCACTATGCCCAGGTCTATATTTATTTTTGAATATTTTTTAGAGAGAAAAATATTTTAACAAACTATTAGCAGTATAAAATTTCCCAGCCCCCGACGGTTTTTTAAAACTCCAACTAAGTTGGAGTAAGTACACTAAGAGTTTTAGAGGTTGAGTCATTAAGAAAACAACTTCCGAACGAAAAAAAAAATTCTTGCTTAAAAAATTGACTTTTAAAGTTAGTATACAAAGTAACGGATTCTACTACCGTGTGTTATTGTATTGCCTTTATTTTCCAAAGTTTGTGTGTGTGTGTCTGTGTTTATGTGTGTAGATTAGAGGACAATTTTCAGGAACCAGTTCTTCCCTTCCACCATGTGAGTCTTGGGATTGAACTTGGGTTGACAGGCTTGGCAGCAAATGATTTTACCCAATGAACCATCTCTCTGGTCCCATACTGAGGTATGAAGAACTTTATTGGATCAATCATTAGAATATCATCTTGCTCAGAAAGAATATGAAAAATGGTACAACCTGGATTCAGTAAAGGTTTTAATCATCAAAGCCTATGAGAATATAAAGAACGATTAATCATTTCCTCCAAATCTCCATATGGGCAGGTGTGTAAATTTGACAAGACTTAGTATGGTTGGCAAGAGAGGCAACCTCTGGACTTTCAGTGTTCTGAAATAGGTTAAATACAGCATGCAGCGTCTCTGTGTGCAGTCTTATCTTTTCTCAGTACCCTTGGGACCTTCTGCCTTCCAAGGCTGGCACTGAGTTCTCTTCCTCTTTCCTCCACTTTCCTTATGTTAGGGAGAGTTTTTAATCTTTGCTTCACTGGGGAGTGAGTATCTTGGTTACTTTTCTATTGCTATGACAAAACACCATGACCAAGACAATTTATAAAGCAAAATATTTAACTTGGAATCACATAATGGGGAGCACAGCAGCAGGCAGGCAGGCAGGGATGGCATTGGTATCGGCAGCTGAGAGCTCACGTCTGGTCCACTAGCATGAGGCAGAGAAAGAGAGCTCACTGGGAAACGCACCTCCTCCAACAAAGTCCCGCCTCCTTATCCTTCTCAAACAGTTTTACCGGCTGGGGACCAAGCATTCAAACACATGAGCCTATGGGGCCATTCTCATTCAGACCACACATTGGGTTGAGAGTCCACAGCCTCACCTCACTTCCAGCTTGCTCTCTCTGCTTCCTCTTGGTGGTGAAAGGTGAGATTTTCAGCTTTCTGCTCCTGCCACCGTGCCTGTCACTTGATGCCACGTTTTCTCCATGACCCAGTGGACCTTAATCCCTCTGGAACTGTAAACCCAAACACACTCTTTTTTTCCATAAGTGGCTTTGGATTATTGTGTTTTATCCCAACAGAAAAGTAACGAATACAGTGACCATGGCTGGGCTCTCCTTCTGTGATATTTTCATCAGTCAACAGGAAAACAAGAGTCGCCGCCAGCAGCAAGCCTGTAGCAGTCGCTTCTCTCCTGCTGATGCTAGCAGCTACTAGTTTATTTATTACCTCTCTTGGGCATTTTATATAAATTTTATATAACTCTGCAATATGTCTGTCTTTCACTTCACATAATGTTTTCAAAGTTGGCTTATGTCGCACAACTTCTGCTTTCCACGTTTATTCTTCCCCTCCCCCCTTCTCTTTCTGTGTGAATGTGTGCTCACATGCTACAGTGTGTATATGGAGGTCAGACGGCAGCCTTTCCCCCTCATTCTTACACGTTTTCTAAGAATTTTGGGCCACATATTTTGATCATATTCACCACCTCCCTCCTCCTAAATCCACCCCCACTTTCAACTGACTCAACTATTTCCTTCCCTCCACCATCAAGTACAATCTGTACTGCTGTGTGTGTGGCCTCCACTGGAGGGTAGTCAGCTCACCAGGCCACACCTTGAACACACGCCTGCCCTCCCAGGAGCTAACAATTGCTGATCGCTCTTTTTAGCCAGGGATGGAACTTCATGCCCACATCTTCTTTGCATGCTGGAATTTTGTCCGATGGGGGCTTATGCAGATTTTGTACATGCTGTCTCAGCTGCTCTGAATTCATATGTGAAGCGCCTTGCTGTGTCCAGAAGCATTATTTCCAGGTAGTCACGCATCACTTCCGAGTCTTGTAATCCTTTTGTCCTCCTTGAGTGGTAATCCCCAAGCCTTGGGAGGAGGGGCTATGCAATAAAGTTATCATCAGGGCTGAGCCTTCTTCAGGTGTTCTCTGTGCCTTGACCAGCTGTAGATCTCTGTGTTAATTGGTATCTACTTCCAAAAGAGGCTTTTCCGATGAGAGCTGATACATTAGTCTAGGGATATAACCACAAGCCATGTGGAGTCAGTTTAAAACTGTGTCTATTTATCAGAGTCATAGTGGTAGGTTTGCCTATAGGGTCTAGGGCCCCAGTAATAATGCCAGGTATGCGATTCAACTTGTGAAGTGGGCCTTAAATTCAGTAAGAAAGTGGTTGCTCACTCATGATGGGCATCTCTTGACAGGCCAGTTGTTGTAGCTCCCAGGGTCAGCGACTAGGCGAGAATGGTGGTTCCTTCTCTTCTCTGGTGCGTGCACAGCATCTTCCACCTCCGTGAAGGTTGGACTGTGTATGGGATGCTTCCTTGTGAGTAGCAGCCTGATAGCTCCTTCTTCTATGACTCAGGTGTGTGGTCTCTTTCCTCCCGTCTTACCGGAAGTTCTGGAGGTAACCAAGAGCCTTGGCAAGATCCTGTAATATCTGGGGGCCCATGTAACTCACTTGCCAACAACCTCAAAAGATGTAACCCATTGCCAGCATTGTGTTTTTTTTTTTTTTTATTTATCCTGTTGTGTCTTGGTGAGGCATTTTTGCCCTGGAATGGGGTAATTCTATTTAAACTCTTTATATATGGATATGTATGTGTATATGTGTATGTATGTATTTTAGGAAGCTTCTTCAGTAGTAGGCTTCCTTTAGTTATCCCTCCTGTATTCCTTTCTCTACCCTTTCCTCCAGTCTGCTTCTCAGAGGACAACCTATGGGAGTCAGTTCTCTTCTTCCAACATGTGGATTCTGGGAACTGAACTCGGGTCTTCGGGCTCAGAGGCAAGTGCCTTCATCTACTAAGCCATGTCACCAGCCTACTCCCCGACTTTTTGATAAGGCTTCTCCATGTAGCCCCGTCTGGACTCCCTAACTCAGCCTTGCAACCACTGGCGTTCCACCATCACATCTGGTTTCTGTTTAGCTTTTTGAGGAATTGACAAATGCTTTCCTCCTATCTACCAAGACTTGCCTTTTCGCTCATCTGGTGTAAGGGTGAAGCAGGGTAGAGCGAGGCTTGTACAAAGATGGAGAGAGAGGGTCACTGGGATAAAGCTGTAAAGGATACTGAGGGGTGAAAGCAGGAATGGCACGGCCGAGAGTGCAATTGTTATGTCTGTCTCCGAGGAGTTCTAATTAGATTTTAGAAGATATTTGCCTAGCGTGTGACAATTAACAAGGGCCAGATAATATGTTGGGCTTAATGTTCAGTCTATTGCAACAATCTTGCTTGACAGACCCAAATATTCTGACCTTTCTCCTAGAAGAGAGGAGGCAAGAAAACAACAAAAAATTGGAGCTGGGGTGGTAAATGTATTATTTCTGTGCTATGAGGGGGTGCTTATAATGATTATGCCAAGTGCTTGGTAGTAGACAGAGGAACTGCATTTCTCATATGTTGCGTTAGGAATGTGTCCCTTTATTCCAACTTCAAAAGACAGGGATGGTCCCAGGGTTGTGTAGTGGGATGCCTGGCTCTGTGTAGATACAGACATCTTAAGCCTCATTTCTTGGTTTGGAGGTACCAGGCTCTGTGGGGATGGGGAAGGTCTTCTCTTAAGGAGAGGAAGAGATGTAGTCTGAATCCTTGGGGTGGGGGTGCCCAATGGCACAACAATCACTGAGACTCACCAAACCAGGTTAGGTATTTATTGAGGCACTGGAGCCAATTCTTTGTGCTACAGGCCTTTAGAGGGATAGGATTTCAATGTGGAACTCTGGCTGCTTGGAAACAACTTCGTATTGAACCTGAAAAATGTCATCGTTCCGGAAGGCAATGCTGCTCTCGAGGGACTGGACCACACAGAGCGTGTTGCACACTTGACTGAAATACCGACGGCACCGCCACATGCGAACCCAGGCCTGGAGCCTGACTGCTGCCTCCTCCTCAATGACGTATATCCTCAGCAGGGCCAGCCGCCGTTTAAGAAGCTGCCTGTGCAGGATGTTCCTCCACCAGCACTGAATCACCCAGGCATTGAGGGCAGCAGCCAGCAGAGTTTGCCTCACCAGGAATCCGCGCCACAAGGCCTGGATCTTACTGGCTGCTTGGGTTCTTTTTCTGCCGCGTTGTTTTGGACGTTGGCGCTAACCAAGCAAAGGACAGGATGCTCAGTGGGTGGGGATACAGGAGAGATGGATAGAGTTTTTGTCTCCACCTCTGTCTTGTCCATGGCTGTGGCCATATCTACAGCCATGGCTCATCTTCTGAGCCACAGTGGCCTGCTTTATAAAGTGAGGTATGTTTATGCTGTGGTGTTCACAGGGGACCCACGGGAAAGACTTTCTGACCCTGAAGATCTTATGAGTTCTTCCTAAAGAAGAACCATAGGATTATAGCCTGAATCTCAGTTCTGAACCAGTACACAACACCGCGAGATATCACAGTTCCCAGGTTCTTCTCTCACTTCGTTTCCACCTCTCTCAATCATGCGGGCCCATGGCAACCCATCTCCCTTCTCCCTTCCCACTGCTGTGTATGCAGGATAGAGGGGATTTAAGGCACAAGAGAGAGAAAACCTGAGCCGACCGGATGAGAATGAAGATGGTGCCTCCTTTCTACAAATACTGAGGTCAGGGTTTCGGGGGTTCTGGTTCATTTACAGTCCTGGGTCACACTCACCTTCGGTTTCCTCTCTTCCTCAAATTGATTGATTTCAGATTCAGACTTCTGCAATCAAAACAGGGAGGCATTCGTAAAAGCCAGCACCCACGCAAAATCCCTGCAGCCCTGCTCCCCAGTCTTTCCCAGGGCCCCTAGAGTAGCCCATGACTTCCTTCTGCCAAGTAGGATCCCCCAACCCTAGGTCAGTGAATCTGACAGTCTTACACAACATTGAGCGCCCATGGCAGAGAGAAGGGACTCAGGTGATCATCCCCTTCAGTTGCTGCTCATCTGACTCCAGCAGGCTCAGGGTGGCTGATGGAGGTGATGCCCATGATGTCATAAGGGCAACTGTGACCCAGGAACTAGGTTACCTTCTCCAGTATCACAGGTTTTGGATAAAGAAGAAATATCTTTCTGTTTCTAGCCAGGAATAAACTAGAGTCTTTAGGGTGTGAGTGTGTCCTATCCCAAATATGAGTTATGGTTTGGCTACACAAGGCACATTCTGTCATTGATCACTGAGGGCAGCAGCTCATGTTGTGACAAGAAGGTACATGGGCCTCTGACCTCCCTGACTGATAATCTCCTTCTACTCTCTGCCGTTTCTTTGGGGTGGGGGAAATCCTTCTTTTAGCGGATGCAGAATGTGTGTGGAGAGTGTTTTCTTCATCTCCTTATTGCTGTGGTGAGACACCTGGGTGCTGGGGCTCGGTTTTCTGCAAGAATAATAAGTGCTCTTACCTGTTGGGTCCTGTGTTGGTTGGTTTTATGTCAACTGGACACAGGTTAGAGGAGGGGCCTGAGATGCTTCCATCACATTAGGCTGTAGGCAAGTCTGTAGGGCACTTTCTTTGTAATTGATGTGGCCCAGCCCACTGTGGGTGGTGCCATCCGTGGGATGGTGGTCCTGTGTTCTATAGGAAAGCAAGTTGAGCAAGCCATGAAGAACAAGCCAGTAAGCAGCACCCCTCCATGGCCTCTGCCCCAGCTCTTGCCTCCAGGTTCCTGCCCTGTTTGAGTTCCTATCCTGACTTCCTTCAGTGGTGAGCAGTGATGTGTAACCATAAGTCAAATAAACCTTTCCTCCCCAACTTGTTTTTGATCATGGTGTTTTATCACAGCAATAGTAACCCTAGCGAAGATAGAAATTGGTACCAGGGGTGGGGTACTGATGTGACAGACTTGACTATGTTGTTTTTAGGAGGACGATGGAAGGACTTTGGAACTCTGGGTAGAAGAGCCATTGAGTGTGGCGAGCTCAGTGAGCTGTTCTGTGGAAGCTTGGAAGATAAGAATGTTGGGGGCACTGTGCATGAAGGAGGCCTGGCTTGTGTAGTTTAAAGATTCTATTGGGGCCATTTGTTATTTTGAATTAAGGTTCTGCAATACAGAGAAGCTGCTACAGAGGTGGCCAAGGTTGTACCTTATGCTGGCAAGTGAGCCTAGTAGTGTAAGAGTCACCCAGGTGGGACTGGTTTTGAAGGCATGAAGGGAACACCAGCCGAGACTTGGCATTGTGAGAGTCAAGGAGAGGCCATTGGTGCAGCTTCGGTTGCAGTTGAAGGATTGAAGGAGTCATGCGGAGAAGCTGGGGCTTGGCACCATGCAGAGAGACTATTGGTGAAAGTGCAGCCCAGTTGCAGCAGAAGACCCCAGCATTTTGGAAATGCCAGTACCGTGGGACGCCCACTAAGAACAGTGGCGGTGGTGAAGCGAAGCCAGTCGGAGCCTAGATGACAAGCTGTGCGTGCTGCAGCGGGTGGAGCCAGAGAAGTGACCTAAGCCCTGCTGTGGAATAATCCTTTTGGACACTGGGAGGATGTTTTGTTCTAATGAAGAGCCAACCGGCCAATAGCTAGGCAGAAAGATGTAAGAGCTAGTTAGTAACAAGCCTAAGCTATCGGCCAAGCATTTATAATTCATAAGTCTGTGTATTTGGGAAGTCACTGGTGCTGATGAAAAAACTCCACCTACAAAGCTTCTTGGAAGAGCCAATAAGATAGTGAGTGGATACCAGACATTGAACATCGAGTTAGTTACACAATTTGGACTTGGTTTTGCTTCGATTTGATGATGACTGTGCCCTGGTTCTTTCCTCTTGAAATAAGAAAGCCCAGACCACTGATGTCAACTTGGCCTCAGGTGGCAGTGTGCAGGTCACTCATATTGACATGCCATCGTCTCCACCGCCCCCACACACCCAGCATGGCCCACAGGCGGCAGCACAGACATTGACATCCCTATGGCCTTTGAGGGTAACATGAAACACGAGGCACCAACATGGCCTCCAGTGGCTGCATGGACCATAGATGTGTTTCAAGGAGGCCCAATTCAGAAAATGAACTGTTCTCCATCTAGGACATCCTGCTGCTGCTCAGAGTCATGGCAATCGTGCAGCTGGGCAGCAACTTCTGAAGCAGAGCTTGCGAGAGCTTTAGGCTACTGCCACCACCCTGTCGGCCCTACTCCACAATGACATGCTCCCCAGCCACCATCCAGAATGCATTGCTGCTCCTCTCAGCCATCTTTCCCACATCTCCATCACATGTTTACTTATGGACTGCAGTTTGTCACATTGTATTTTTTTGCCCAAACAGGTTTACATAAAAATACTACTGCAGGGCAGAAGAGATGGCTCAGAGGTTAAGAGCACTGACTGCTCTTCCAGAGGTCCTGAGTTCAATTCCCAGCAACCACATGGTGGCTCACAACCATCTGGTGCCCTCTTCTGGCATGCAGGCAGACATGGAAGAATGTAGTATACATAATAAATAAATAAATAAATTTTTTTTTTTAAAAAAAATACTTACTGCAATGAGTCGTTGGTCTGGTTCAAGGTTTCTGGTTTCTGATGCATCATAAATACTGTACTATCGATGGGATTCCTCTCAGATATTCTGTTGTTGCCCAGAGTCAGGGAAATCTTTTGGCTTGGTAGGGTGTCTAGTGGCAACATCCTCAAGTGCTCTAGGCCACTTGGATACCTCTCTGCCCTTGATAAAGGCCACCCTGCCACCTCACCCAGTACCATACCGTCGTGCTTGTGGGCCTTGGGCAGCACCGTGGCCCCATGCTCTCCTCCACCAAGAACGGCAAGCAGTAGCCACTCCAGGCTGTGGGACCGGTGCACTGGCCTGAGCATTCCAGAAGAGGACCAGCTTTACAAGCTGCCCTATAGTCCCCAGATTGCCAACAACCACTGTCATTTTGAAATGACCTTCAAATATTTTTTGAAAAAGGTTCTAATAACAGAAATTATAGACGTGCTGGAGCACATCTGCTGGAGATACTGCCGTTCTCTCTGATGCTCTTCTCTGAGTTTCTTTCTGGCTCAGGAGGCTGGTGCAGCTCCTCCTCTACAGTTGCAGGGATAACCGTGAGAGCCGATCCTCTCACCTTGAACCTGCAGGATTGCAGACCAAACATCCCCATTCCTAAGGAGAGGAACAGGAGACTACCACAGATCGAGGGGACCCTTGCTAAAAGATTTCAAGACTGAAATCCAGCAGGGGAAATGTTACCTCTTGTAGTACTGTGTCTGGCACTTGGAGTAGGTGCTGGTAGAAGGCAAACCTCAGAAGGTTTGGGTACCATCTACCTCTCTGGCTGCAACCCGCGTCTCAGGCTGGCAGACTTGCCCTATTCTTGGGTTCTCTGACTTCTGGGGTCTTTGCTGCAGCTTCTCCCGCTGTCTTCTTGGGGTCTGCCCGCAAGAATTCCTACCCTGTCGCATGTTGCCTGCCCTCCCATGTTTCGTTTTGTTAAAGATCTTTTTGTGTGTTTGTGTATGTTTCCTGCACGTATGTGTGTATACCACATGTGTGCCTGATGCCTGTGGAGGTCAGGAGAAGGCGTCAGACGATCTGGAACTGAGGTGATGAATAACTGTGAGAGGTGCTCCACATCCAAAGCATCAAGTGGGCGGGGCTCAGGGGGGTCTGGATGGGGAGCCTCAGCTCATTTCTATGCCTCCTTGTCTGTTGCTGTCACCCCAACTGGTTCTCTTGTATCTGTGATACCTTTGTTTCCCAGATGAACCTTTAAAACAGGCCATTCCATCCTGTGTCTGAATGTTTTTTTGATGGGAATTTTCCAAAAAGAAGCCATTGTATAAGAGAATGGTGCCCTGATCACTGTAGAAACCTCCTTGAAAGGGTCAGATAATTTTCTAGGCTGATGTCAAGCCAGCATTACCAGTTTGTCCCTGTTGCCACCTCTGATTCTATCTTCTCCTTTCAAGGCATTGCTCATTCCCTTTCTGTATACATAGATGCATCCTACCAGCTCTGTAGGAGCTTAATACAGTACCTGATTCAAAAATTAAAAACAAAACAAAAAAAATGAGTAATAGCACCATACCCATGATCCATGGGAAATTTCTAGGCTCTAGTCCATATCAGCAACTCATTGAAAGGCCTGACTCTTTCATGCATGGGCAAGCCAGCATCCTCTGTCTGTGCTGGCGTTCTTTAGCTCCAGTTGAACCCACCTTCCCCTACCCATAATACTTTTGCCTATAACACTTACGTTCTTTGCCTGAGTTTTATCCTAATGTCACTGAAATCGAAGTTCCCTCCAGTCCAGTGTCACAGGAAAGGCACCAAGAAGATAAAGACCAGGTCAGACCAAACAAGGTCACATGGACGATGGGGAAGAGTTAAACCCGCAGATGTTGGAGGATGAGCTCTTCTTCCATGTTGCATAACTTGAGGGACGCCATTTAAATGGACATCAGTGGGGCAGGGTCTCTGGAGTTGCTCATGCAAAACCTGAACCCTACAACACCAAATATTCCAACCAGCAGGCATTGCTAATCAGTCATAGATCTTGATCATGCAGCTTGAGGCTCTCACACTCTCTGCCGGAGAGTACAGACTGTAGCACAAGGGGTCTGCTTGTTGGGGTTTCTGTCCCGCTTGGTACCCCACAGCTGGCAAGCCCCCAAAGAAAATTACACAGAGAGTCTACATTAGGTTATAACTGATTGGCCCATTAGCTCAGGCTACTTATTAGCTCTTGTAGCTTATATTAAACCATTTTTCTTATCTATGTTAGCCACATGGCTCGGCACCTTTCTCAGAGGGGCAGGTCACATCCCTGCTTCTTTGGTGATCTGGGCAGGAGTGTGAAGGAATGGGCTTCCTCCTTCCCAGCATTCCCCTGTTCTCATCAATCTGTCTCTACTTCCTGTCTGGTTGATCCACCTATACTCCCTGCCTGGCCAATCAGTGTTAATTTAAAACATGATTGACAGAATACAGACAACTATCCCGCAGCAACAGACATTCTCTCTTGCCTCCAGAGCTCATTTGTGCTTTAAGTCACAGTCATTTTCCTGAGACATCCAGCAACCCGTCTCACAGAAAGCCAGAGACAGCTATTAGGAGCAACCCTGGTCAGTTCTTTATTGGGAAAGGAATGCAATCTGAAACCCGACAAATGTGTGATTCAAGAAAGATGTCAACCTGAAGTTTTAGCTTGTTTCTTGAGAGCTCATAGCAGCCTTGGATTGTCTTAAGACTTTTACAAATGTAGGGATTTCTGGAGTCTTGCAGTTTTTGGACAGTGTTGAGCAAATAGAGGTAACGCTTCCGGACCAGCCACATTCGCACCCAGGACTGCAGCTTCACAGTGGCCTGTGTCTGCCTCAGGCTTGTGATCATCACCTTCTGTAACTTCCTCTCTAGCAGCCTAGCCATCGTCTTCCTCCACCAGCACTGAATAATCCAAGCACTGAGGGCAGCAAGCAGCAGGGTCCTGCGTACCAGCGTGCCTCGCCACCAGGCCTGGATCTTTATGCTTGCCAGCACGTCAGAAGGCAGCTGCTATTTTGAAGAGAAGTGGTTGCATGAAAAAGAAAAGACACTCAGGAAATAGTCCTCAGGTAGCTCAGCCTCAGGCTGGGAAACCAGGGGGACTCAGTTACCTCTTTCTGTTATGTTTATTAGTGGTTATGCATTCATCACCTTGAGCCTCAACGTCCCCATTTATAGAATGGGGTAATCTGCTCTTGATACTCTTCTGGCTTTCCGTGAACTGGGCTGGTCAGTTTAGGACAACAGCCCTATGTTCTGCAGAACTGTCTTGGATCTGATAGCCACCAGGGTCCCTTGACCACTTCCTTCAGACCTCCCGCCTGCAAATGTGAACTTTCCTGTTGTCTTATCCACGACGATTTCCCTCCTCTGTGTAATCTGGCTCTTTCTCTTCTATACTTCACTTTTACTTTGTTCACTTCCCACATCTTACACACACACACACACACACACATGCATACACACACATACACACACATGCACACACACACTCATGCACACATTCACGCACACACTCACGCGCACACACACACACACGTGTGCACGCATGTTCCATCCTCTTGCATAATTTTGGGCATGAGATTCTCCGTTTGGCTATTTATTCACAAACACCTACCATCCCCCAACTTCACAAATCCTACTCCTGCTCTCTGGGACTTCTCCCCCACACATCAATCTTTTTACATCAGTCACCTGTTGTAGAAAATGATTTTCAGGTGTGTTACTTTTGTTTACTCTGCATTTGTTTAACTGTGAAGCTGTGATTCTTTGCCTGTCTAAAACACCTGATAGTTCTAATAAAGAGCTGAATGGCCAATAGTGAGCCAGGAGAAAGGATAGGTGAGGCTGGGAGGCAGAAGTACGAACAGGAGGAGAACTCTGGGTAAAAAGGAAGAGCAAGAGAACAAGGAGAGGAGAACATCTGGGGCAAGCCATCCAGCCACAGAGCAAGCCAGGAAGTAAGACGTAAAGTAAGGTGTACAGAAACAGATAAAGGTAAAAGCCCAGAGGCAAAGGGTAGTCAGAATAATAAGAAAAGCTGGCTAGAAACAAGGCAAGCTATGGCTGGACATTCATAAGAAAGAATAGACTGCGTATGTGATTTATTTGGGAGCTGGGTGGCGGGCATCCCCCCAAAGCCTAAAGAGCAAAGAGTAAAAGAGCAACAACAAGAGTCATCTGTGTCTCTGAGGCCAATAAGGTGATGATAAGACAGTCAAGGGTAAGCAAGCCCTGCTCATGGCAGCACTGCAGAGTGTAACTGTCCCAGTTAGCCAGGACAGTCTTGGTGTCTGATGGCTCTTCGGGGTAATGGCTTTACTCAGACCTAGACCTCTCAAATGTACCGTACTTGGAGCATCAATTCCAGGACTATCTCATGGTATGGGCCACATACCTGAGTGATATGAATTATGGTCACGGGTCACCCCCTAACACTGAGGCCTATCCCACCTACTTTTGGCTGAAGTGGGAGTTTCAACTTCACCGTCTTTTTTCCCCGAAGTATGGCTCCATCTGCCTTTGCAGCTTTAGTTTTCTTGTCTTGGGTTTGCTTCTTCTATAATCAGAATCAAAGGGCAGAGGAGATCATTCTGTGTGCAAGTCATGGTTCTAATATACACAAAACCGCTTTGCTTGGATAGTCAGCCTAAACACAGGCCTTAGATCCTGACTGCTAGAGCAAATGCACCTTCTCCTGCATACAACTTGTCAATCGGTGGACTTTGACCTTTTTTTTTTTTAAAAAGATTTATTTATGTATATCAGTGTTTTGCCTGCATGTATGTCTATGTGAGGGTGTTGGATCCCCTGGAACTAGAGTTAACACACAGTTGTGAGCTGCCACGTGGGTGCTGGGAACTGAACCCCGAGTCCTCTGAAAGAGCCACCAGTGTTTTCGACCTCTGTGCCATCTCTCCGGCTCCAATCTGGTTTTTCTAAAGCTCCTCTGGCAAATCCTCTTGTCAACTGTGGGCAATCCCCTGAGGACTGTGAGCTGTCCCCTTCCTTCCATTCTCTTGGCTTCCGTTCTCACCTCTGGATTGTCTGTTTCTGTGGGATGTGTAGGTTGTTGAGAATGTGGTGTCAGTGTCCTGGTAAAGGTGTGACACCAGACCCTGCTATGCTTCCTTGAGCCAGCCTCAGTCCTCTTGGAGACAGACAAGTCACTTGCTCCTCTTGGAGGAAGAGTCCAAACAGCCCTTGGTAGCCCAAACCCAAGCAGCCCCTGGACTCGCTGCTTCTGAACTTGGATGACCTGTGTGGACTCTCTTCACTGTCCCAATTATATTAAACTTATTTTAAAAATACATAATTGACAGCTTAGACCTATTTTCTGTCTTGTCACATTCTATCTTTCAGGGATTCCACATCATTATGTTCTTTTTCAAGGTGTAATAGATATTGTTGAAATGATATGTTCTTCTGTTATTCATGACTGTGTAGAGGGAGATGGAGGTCAGAGCCCGCACTTATCACTTGGATCCAGTGTCAGGCATTCTGGTTTTGTTTTTGTTGTTGTTTTGGAGTTTCTGAATGTTTATGTTTTCTTTGAAGTGAGACTCTGAAACAAATTTTAGCCAGAGACTGAGAGTTTTCTTCTACAGGGGGATAGGAAGCAAAGGGTTCTTACAGGGGAGAAACTTTGAATTTATGTCCTGTGACTCAGTTCTGAGTCTAGGATGCTGCTTACCAAAGGTCACACAGTGTCCTCGCCATCCAGGGTGCCCCTCACCTTGCTTCTGTTAGTGTCTACTCCTACCTTTTAAGGCACTCCTTAGCCTCTAGGGCTCATGCCAACCTCTGTCACCTTCCCATTTCTCACCACCCTGGGCCTCACCTTCCTCATGCTTTGTGCTCTGTTTACTCAGGGAGGGGATTTCAGAGACAGAGGAATGCTACGCCAGTCCAGTGGAGCCAGAGCAGGCTCTTCTAAGGCTAGGGACTGTGGGATCATTGGGTCAGCATCTCCAGTTTTCTCACCTACCTGCAGCTGCTTTTCCTTCTCTTCTTCTAGTGTTTCCTTTTTCACTTCTTGATTAGACTCCTGCAATCAGAATTGGGTTGTATGGTGGTCTGAATAAGAATGGCTGCCAGAGGCTCATAGATTTGAATGCTAGGTCAACAGGGGTGACATTGTTTGGAAGGATTAGAGGGTGTGGTCTTGTTGGCTTTGAGGTTTCAAAATCCCCGTTCCAAGACCCGAGTCTGTCTGTCTGTCTGTCTGTCTCCCTCCCTCCCTCCCTCCCTTTCTCTCTCTCTCTCTCTTGTCTGCAGATCCATTTGTAGAACTCTGAACTATTTCTCCAACATCATGTTCTCCATAATGAAAGTAGACTAAACCTCTGAAACTGTAAGAAAGCCCCAGTTAAATGCTTTCTTTTATAAGGGTTGCTGAGGTCATAGTGTCTCTTCACACCAACAGAACACTGTGACAGTTGGGTTGTTGCAGGATATTTGATTGCATTCATGCTCTGAGACTGTTAATAAAGTTAAACCTTAGATTAGGAGGTGGAGTCCATGACTAGCTGATCAGAATGAGCCATAGAGATTTTGGAGGGCCCAGATAGAGAGGTACAGGAAGAGAGAGGGAGGGGCTTGCAGAAATTCTCTGGCTTTTCAATCTGGGAAGGTGGAGAGGAATCAGCTAGTTGTTTCTAGATTGCTTTCTTGATCTATCAGGTTCATACCCCAATATCTGCCTCCTGCGCTTTTATTAATAATAGAGCAATATAGGTAAATGTTTCATTGGGTCATGGGTGAAGACTAATTTCTCTGGATATGTCTAATGCCCCAGCTCCCTATTTTACTTCCGAAGTTACGGCATCATCCAGTGTTTCCTTCTGTCATGGGCTAAGTCTCCACCCCAGGGAAGGCAAGTCTGACAGAATCTTACACAATACTGACTGACCATGGTGGGAGGGCAGGGGTTCAGATGTTCATCCCCCTCTTGGCATTTCCTTTAGCTTCATCAGGGGCAGGACAGGTGGTCAAGGAGGAGATGACCATGACATCACAAGGATTATCTGTGACTTATAGGCCAGGTTGTCTTCTCCCAGCTCAAAGATACTGGGTGAAGAGGAAACCCTTGACTGTTACCCTCCTGTCAGGAATGGCCTGGAGATGTCAGACTGACACGTGAGGTTTTATTACCTCAGTGGTGACCATTGTTCCTTCCCACACCAGGGCCCATCATCTGTCACAGGAAGGGACATGGGCCTTCCCACCCTACTGACTCAGGCTGGGTTTCCCTGATACTCTCTGCCTGTTTCCATGGTGTCTGTGACACTTGTCTCATAATAATGTCTGGCAGCCTTCTGGAATTTTTCCAGGGACCAGGACCAACAGTTGCTGGTCTTCACTGTTCATTTTCGGCCATTTCCATGGTCCTCAGCCTCAACTCTCTGCCTTCTTTCACCTTTTAATTTCTGCCTCCTCTCTCCTTCCCTCCTGAGCCACTCTCTGGAACTGTTCGGGGGGAATCTTGATGCTTCAGTCATTTGGTCATTGTCACAGTTACCACCACAGGGGAGTGTCACCTTGTGTCATTACTGATGTTGCTCGTCATTGTCACTAGTGCGGTAGCTCTTTTGCCACTGTCCCTGCTGTCCCTCTACTGTAGCTCCTGTCATAGCCACCACGGCTGCTATCAGACTGTTCCAGTTCTGCTGCCATTCCACTGCCATGGTTTCATTGTTGCTGTCATCGATGCTGCACTCATGGTGGCCAGCGCTGCTGGTGTGCCTCCATTGCACTGACAACTGCTGGTCACTCCCCCGGTTCCACGGTTGGCACTGCCCTGGCTGCCAACCACTCCTATGACTCCGCTAATGCCGTGGCAGAGCCGTTCCACCATCTTTGCTGCAGGGCAGCAGCTCAGCCCACTCTACTAGTGATGGAGTCAAAATGAGGCAAGGAAACTATCACTAGAGAGCAGCTTTGCATTGGGCCCAATGTTACCACACTGCTCTGTTGTTTATTTGGTGTGTGTGTGTGTGTGTGTGTGTGTGTGTGTGTGTGTGTGTGTGTGTTGAGGGGGCAACCCAGGAAGTTGTGTCTCAGAACACAAAGCAATCCCAATGAACCTGGCTAGATAGCCAATCACAGTGGAGCTTTATGCAGATGAAGGACTGTATATGTACATACATCATGACATTGGTCCCTTAGCGATCGATACATCAAAACAATCACTGCTAGGCTACTAGAGGGTGTGCTTCCCCTCCAATCTGGGTGGGAAAAGTTACAGATTCTTTTAGCATTCACCAAGTTTTGTGACAGCAATCAGTTCAGAGCAGACTGTTTGAATCAGCCGTGGCTGTGGCTACACCTTTAGAAGCTAGGGCTGTGCTTCAGCAGCAAGCCGCTGTGATTGAAATGTAGCTTCCTCAGAGTGTCAATGGAATATTCAAAACAGTCCATTGTGGGCCTACAGGTAGTTCAATTGGCTGCCTGACTGAGAATCCTCTGTTCAAAGTAGCCAGGACATCAGGGAGGAGTTAAACAGCTGCCAATTAGGAATTCAAATTGCTCCTCCAATGCAACACCATAGTTTATAGGAAAAATAAACTTCAGAGAGTTTAAAGGACTGGTGGTTTGAAAAAAAATGGCACGCAAAGGGAGTGGCATTATTAGGAGGTGTGGCCTTGCTGAAGTAGGTGTGGTCTTATGGAGGAAGTGTGTCACTGTGGAGGCGGGCTTTGAGGTCTCATATATGTTCAAGCCACGCCCAATGAGACAGACCACTTCCTGTTGCCTGTAAGATATAGAATTCTTAGCTACCTCTCCAGTACCATGTCTACTTGCATGATGCCATGTCCCACCATGATGATAATGGACTGAACCTCTGAAATGTCAGCTACCTAATTAAATGTTTTTCTTTATAAGAGTTGCCATGGTCATAGTGTCTGTTCACAGCCCTAGAAACCCTAGGAAAAGTACTTTTATATTTGAAAAAAAATTTAAATTGAAATATAATTACATAATTTCCTCCCTCCAATCCCTCCCTTGTCCCGTCTCCAATCTCACATATGCTCCCTCACCCTCTCTCAAATTGGTAGCCTCTTTTTATTTATTATTGTTATACACACAAACACATATGAATACATAAATACAGAAATACAGCCTACTGAGTCCTTTTAGTGCTACATGTATGGATATGATTTCAGGATAACCACTTGGTATTGGATAACCAGCTGGGGACTCATTTGTTTTAAGAGACCACTCATTCATTTCCTGGCCTCCCAGACTCCTGAAATAATAACACAGAAACTATATTATTTAAATCACTGGTTGGCCAATCACTTAAGCAATATGCAAATCAATAAGCAATACACTTAAGTGATTAAATAAACCATTTTTATTAGTTTATCTTTCACTACTAGGTTCATGGTCTACCGACAAGGTTCCAACTAGTAGCTTTCCCCTCTGGCAGTTACATGGCATCTCCCTGACTCCTCCTCCTTTCTCCCAGCATTCAGTTTGGTTTTCCCCGCCTACCTCTATTCTGACCTGTGTAGACCCAAGATAGTTTCTTTATTCATTAACCAATAAAAGCAACACATATGCAGAAGGACTTTCCATACCACTCATCCCCTGGAAAGACTGGATCTCCCTCTCTCAGCAACCATTAGTTGCCTGTAGTTGTTTGTACAGGGGTGTGGCCCCAAGGAGCTTTCCCCGCTTCTAAGTTAGCATATCTATTGGTGCTGTCATTTTTTAAGTCTTGCTTGGGCAGTTATGCTGTTGACTGTCTTGGGTGTAGCTTCCCATTCACATTTAGGAAACACGAATTCACAGCACATGTTCTGGTCCTCTGGCTCTAACGATCTTTCTGTCTCCTCTACAATGATGGTCCCTGAACTTTCGGCACAGGAGCTGGGTTGGAGATACATCCATTGTGCATCCCATGATCAATCAATCTCTATTTTGACCATTTGTGACTTTCTGTAAGGGTCTCTGCTGCAAAAAGAAGAAGCCCTTTTGATGAGAACCGAGAGCTACATTTATCTGTGGCTCTAAGGATGAGTTTTAAAATGTGGTCAGCACTCATGCTGGTTAGTAACATGTATAGGCACTCCTCTAAGATCCATACATTAGAAGTGATTTTAATAATGTTTATCAATCGTCTTAGCAGTGCTTACTACCTGCCCCAGAGGTACCTCTCTAATCTGCCTGTCCCATCTGAATTTTGCCAAGCTGTGAAGATGGAAAGTGGGGTCACCTGGCTTTTCCCCCTGGAGACTCTAGTGAGGACTTGGGCAGTGTGATTCTGAAGGGCGGGTACCTGAGCTTCAAGCCCAGTGCCCCTGGGCAAGTTGCCTAGCCTTGTGCTGTCTGCCTTCTTCCGGGTGACATGGAGGTTGTGCCGTCGTCGTTCCTCCTTGCCAAGCTCTGTGAGGACTCCCATGAGTGAAATACTTGCAAGTACCCCAGTTCTTGGTACCTATTTTAGGTTTTTTTTTTTTTTTAGTTGTTTTTGTTGCTCCATTCTGGGCAGTGGCATCTCTTTGTGCCACTTGGCCTATTCTGCCATTGGTCTGTGTTATGGTTTGATTAGGAAATGTCCCTTGTAGGTTCATGTTTTGTTTCTCAGGAGGCAGCACCACAATTTGAGGTGCTAGAACTTCAGTTGGTGGGGCCCACCTCAGACAAATAGGTCACTGGATACATGTTCTGGAGGTTCTGTTTCATCCTGACCTGTTGTCAGAGGTTTCTGTCCTGCCCAGTTCCACAGTTGTTCAGTCCCAAAGAAACACACAGAGGCCTACATTACTTATAAACTGGTTGGCCTATTAGTTCAGGCTTCTTATTACCTAACTCTTACATCTTAAATTAATCCATAATTCTTGTCTATGTTAGCCATGTGGCTTGGTACCTATTATCAGTGAGGCATTCTCATCTTGCTTCCTCTGCATCTGGGTGAGGACTGCAGACTGAGCCTTTCCTCTTCCCAGAATACTCTTGTTTCGGCCCACCTATACTTCCTGCCTGGTTACTGGCCAATCAGCGTATTATTAAACCAATACAAGTGACAAATCTTTAAAGGGTACAAGACCATTGTCCCACAGTACTGGACTGTTCCTCTGTGTCTAATTGTGTTTCCTGGTTGCTTCAAGGTAGACATTTCTGCTTTCCCATACCCACCATGAAGTTGTACCTTGCTGCAGGCCTAGAAATCACGGGTCCTGCAACAATGAACTGAAACCACCCAACTTAGTCTGTTCACAAATAAATCTTTCTTTTCTTCAACTGAGTGTCACTGGTGTTTGTTGCAACAACAAAATCGTATGAAAGTAGTTTAGTCTTGTGCGCATGTCTGTTCTCATGAAGTACTTCTTGTTGGAGAAGTTTTGCTAACAATCTTCCTCAGACTGTCATCTGCCTTTTCACTTTTCCATGGTGTCTGTGAGTCCACAGACAGCATTGATTTTGTGTTGAGGTTTGTTGACATTTAATTTTAGTATTTGTATTAGCATCATGAACTCAGTTGTTCACATTTACTCAATGATTCTAAGTAAACAGTGAAAACAACCAGGGGTCCTAATTTTCTCCTGGCATCTTTCCCCATCACTCGGCTGCTTTCAACTATGCTCCCCCTATACACCCTACTAACATGCTATATTGAAAATTATATTTTCCCATTTTGGGTGTTCTCTGTTGTGTTCTTTGTGTGGATGAAGACTTAGTCTGTTCCTATTATCTACCCTGCTCTCAGTATGCTTACAGTACCCTCTTTTCTGTAATAGATCAGCATTACATCATTGTAACTGTAAACACTGCTCTTGACTCAGAAACGGTACATCACGAGTACACAGCCTTTCCAGAACTTTCCTTTTGTTTTCTTGGAGCTAATTGGTTGCTTTGCTTTTCCTAATTTACCCTCAGACTTTTCACAAGTGAAGGTACATTGAAGGATTTGTTTCTCTTCTTCCCTCCCTCCCTCCCTCCCTCCCTTCGCCGCTCATTAGCATCAGCTGCTCTCATGTCTGTCAGCGTCTTCCTCATTGTTTTCTACACTTCTCCGGTGGACTCGCCTGTGTACTTGGTTCCTGGGGTAGCAGGCAGCCTTTCATTAGGGCCTCTGGAGCTGGAGTTACAGGTGCTTGTGAGCCACCGATGCCAGTGTTGGGGACGGAACTGGGGTCACCTGAAAGAGCAGCAGGTGTTTTTCTGCCGCTGAGCCATCTCTCCAGCCTCAAGCACATTTTCTTATCTCCACTTCCAGGCTTTCTGTGAGCCTCTGGTTTATCTTCGCTGAGTGACAGGAGCCTTGTCCTGCACACCAGGCCTCCCTTCTCAGCTGTAGCCCTTGTTTTCATAGAGCACATCCTTGACAGTTCCTAGGAAAGTGTGCATGTCTGAAAGTCGCCGCAGTATCTACGATTCTGACTGGTGATTTCTAAGATTATCAAATTTTAAACAGTGTAGTGGTGCTCGCTTTTAATCCAGCACTCGAGAGACAGAGGCAGGCAGTGTCTATGAGTTCAAGGTCAGCCTGATGTTTAAACTGAGTTCCAAGACAGCTGGAGCTACGTAGTGGGACCTTGTCTTGGGAAGAAAATAAAAGAGTATCAATTTTTTTTTCTTTTAAAATTAAAAACAAATTTAAAATACAAAGCAGAATTTCACTATCTAGCCCTGGCTGGCTTGGAACTTACAGAAATCTGCAGGTCTCTGTTTTTGAATGTTGGGTTAAAGGTGTGAGCCACCATACCTGGCAGATTATCAAATTTTAGATTAAAATAACTTCTCTTCAGAATTTAAAGACTTTGTTCCAGTTCCTCCTTATCTTATCTTCAACTCTTATCTTTGTCTATGAGATGCAACCACATGTCCCCACTCTAGAAATATTTCCCGCATCCGTGATGTTCTGAAACTACGAGATGAAACATAGAGACAGGATTTCACTTTTTGTACATTTATTGTGTTGTTTACTTGATTAGTTTCCAACATCACCATTGTAGTAACAACAGACTTTCCTCTTGGTGCCGAGTCTGCACCATCTTTTTTGCCGTCCGACCCTCTTGTCAGTTTTATTATTATTATTATTATTATTATTTTAGAATAAAGTGTACTTGATCTTTTTGTTGTGCTTTTGTATTTAGTTTGCAAATAAATTATCTTTTTGTTGTACTTTTGAATTTGGTTTGAAAGTAATTTATTGAGAAAATTTTCACCTATGTTCATCCGGGAGTTTTTTACCCCATTACTGTGCTTATCGGTTTTATTGTCAGGGCAATGCTGACTTCATAAAAGTAGTGCACCTTGGCTGAATTTATTTTAGGAAAGAAGAATAAGATGAACAAGGGAAAAGGAGAAGACTGAAGGAAGGAGAGGGGAGGAGAGGAGAGGAACAACCATGTTTACTGGGTCGATTGAGCAAGTTTTCAGGGATGCTGAGGTAGAAGGGAAGTTATTCCTAGGGAGCAGAGTTTGACCCATAGTGAAGTCACAAATCCAAGTCTCGGGAAGAATCTTGAATCATGTATTCATTCGCCAAAGAAATGCTCATTGAGGCTATAAAAGTGGCGCTTAAACAGATTCAATGCAATGCCCATCAAACCCCAGAAAAATTCTTCAAAGATCTTGAAAGAATGACCCTTTACGCATCCACTCTGCCTTGCTAAAAACTATTCACATTCCAAAAGCTAGCCACCAGGATCTAGTCCCATATTTGGTCACTTCCTTCTCCTGAGGCTGACTACCAAGGTCCAGCAATCAGAATCCCCCTTTGGTTTGCCTCATTAATATGCCCAATTAAAATTAAACACATCACAAATTCAACGCAAAGCCCATCAAAATCCCAGCAAAATTCTTCACAGACCTCAAAAGAATGCTAGTCAACTTCATATGGAAAAGTAAAAAACCCAGGATAGCCAAAACAATCCTGGGCAATAAAAGAACTTCTGGAGGCATCACAATCCCTGACTTCAAACTCTACTACAGAGCTACAGTACTGGAAACAGCCTGGTATTGGCATAAGAACAAACAGGAGTACCAATGGAACCAAACAGAAGACCCAGATATCAATCCACACATTTTTGAACACCTGATTTTTGACAAGGAAGCAAAAAATATCAAATGGAAAAAAGAAAGCATATTTAACAAGTAGTGCTGGCATAACTGGATATCAACATGTAGAAGAATGAAAATAGACCCATATCTATCACCATGCACAAAATTCAAGTCCAAATGGATCAAAGACCTCAACACAAAGCCAGCCACACTGAACTTTATAGAAGAGAAAGTGGGAAGTACACTTGAATGCATTGGCACAGAGAACCACTTCCTAAATATAACACCAGCAGCACAGACACTGAGAGAAACAGTAAGTGGGACCTCCTGAAACTGAAAAGCTTCTGTAAAGCAAAGTACATGATCAACAAGACAAAACGACAGCCTACAGAATGGGAAAAGATCTTCACCAACCCCACATCAGACAGAGGTCTGATCTCCAAAATATACAAAGAACTCAAGAAATTGGTCATCAAAAGTACAAATAATCCAATAAAAAAATGGAGTACAGGCCTTAACAGAGAACTCTCAACAGAGGAATATAAAATGGCTGAAAGACACTTAAGGAAATGTTCAACATCCTTAGTCATCAGAGAAATGCAAATCAAAACAACTCTGAGATTCCATCTGACACCTGTAAGAATGGCCAAGATCAAAAACACTGATGACAACTTATGCTGGAGAGGTTGTGGGGGAAAGGGAACACTTCTGCACTGCTGGTGGGAATGCAAGCTGGTACAACCCCTTTGGCTATTTCTCAGAAAATTAGGAAACAACCTTCTTTAAGACCCAGTAATACCACTTTTGGATATATATCCAAAGGATGCTCCATCGTGTCGCAAGGGCATGTGCTCAACTATGTTCATAGCAGCATTGTTTGTCATAGCCAGAACATGGAAACAAACTAAATGCCCCTTGACCGAAGAATGGATAAGGAAAATGTGGTACATTTACCCAATGGAGTACTACACAGCAGAAATAAATAATGACATCTTGAATTTTGTAGGAAAATGGATGGAGCTAGAAAACATTATTTTGAGTGAGGTAACACAGACATAGAAAGACAATTATCACATGCACTCACTCATAGGTGGTTTTTAAACATAAAGCAAAGAAAGCCAGCCTACAAACCACAATCCCAGAGAACTTAGGCAACAAATGAGGACACTAAGAGATACTTACATAGATCTAATCTACATAGGATGTAGAAAGTAGAAAAAGACAAGATCTCCTGAGTAAATTGGCAGCATTGGGACCTTGGGGGAGGGCTGAAGGGGGAGCGGAGAGAGAGGGAGGGGAGCAGAGAAAAATGGAGAGCTCAATAAACATCAATAAAAAAGTGGCACTTAGTTAGAATACTTTCCAGCTGTTCAAATGGACATTTGTCCAAATAGCTATTCTACCAATGGTCGGTGTTCATAGAAGGATGCCCAAAATCCTTAGTCACTAAGAAAATGCAAATTAAAACCCACAATGAAGCATTTCAGGCCAATAGGAGGGCAACAATTTGAAAGATGACTTTTGTGGCTTTCTGTAATGGTCTCTGGTGCAAAAAGAAACATCGTTGATGAGGACCGAGAGCTATTTTTATCTGTGGCTCTAAGGATAAGTTTTAGAATGTGGTCAACACTCATGCTGGTTAGTAGCGTGTAGTAGGCTCTCCTCTAAGATCTGTGCATTAGAAGTGACTTTAATAATGTTTAACAATCCTCTTGACAGCGCCCACCAGCTGCCCCAGTGGTACTGCTCTAATCTGCCCAACTCTTCTGCATGGCTGATGGGATTGTAAACTGCTAACCATTCATAGTGACTTTAGCCGTAAGCGGTCAAACACATGCAAAACAGTGTGACAGATTCTCACACTAGAATGTTATGGAGTATACAGTTATGCTTCACACTGTGAGGTGAGTGAGTTTTGTCAATTGGCACTGTTTACTGAGGCCACACACAAATGATGTATCGCTATGACTGTGAGAAAATAAATTCCATAGGGACGGGATACATTTTGAAGAGCACAAGGTACTGGAGGGATTAGTGGGGAACGGACACTAAAAGGCTATAGGATTATGAGTACGATAAAAAAGACTTTGGAAATCTGTGGCTGCTTAGCAATTTGAACACACTAAATGATACTGCCTTATTAGCTACTCTAAATGAGTGGTTTTCAGTTTAAGCACACAAAGAGCACAAGCACATGTGTGTGCATACACACACACACACACACTCACACACTGTGATGACTAGTCCCTATAGCAACAAGGAGGGGTGATACTCTGCAAAGTCTGGGTGCAGAGCCCTGCCCCCTTGCAGCTGGTTGATTAATGGGACTGTGGATACCTCCCGTTGGGGTTGAGGACTTTCAATTGAGGTATTAGGGTTACCAACTGAAGCCCAGCGAAGGTGGGCAGGGATCGCTGTATAACCTAAAAAGACAGAGGAGGCCCCTCTAGGGAGTGTTTGTGCAAAGACCAAGCTGAGTGGGGAGAGCTCTCAGGAGAGAATGCCCTGGGGGACCAGGAGACAAGCTCCACGTTCTGAATGGAGCAAGGTTGGCACGCTCTGCATGAGACACTTGACTGGCGAGTGTCCAAGAGGACACTGGGAGAGTTTGAAGGATGTGGCTACTCCATGTAGCGTTGTGGACGTGGGCAGGGCTGTCAGGTTTGTTCTAAGTAGATGGGGAGACCTCAGAGGATGATGAGACTGGCATATTGACCAGTTAAGGGGAGCGGGCATCTAGCAGTGTTCCTGGTGACTTTATCCCAACTCTCCAGTCATGCAGTCACTGCTAAGCAGACACAGGCACTGTTGTGGTCCAAGGCTCTGACATCCTCCACCCTGGGAGCTTAGACACGTGCTGTTGCTGTCAGAGCAAGCTTGTGTGGCGCATTGTGTCTGCAGTCATTGTGCAGATTTGCTGCTGGACAGGGATGCCAAGTGGGTTGTGTAACAAAGACCCAGTGGCGTCTGTTAGAAGACCTGATCAGTTCTTTATTGGCAAGGGTATGCAGTCTGATATACGACAAACCTGTGATCCCAGAAAGATGTCAAGCTGAAGACTTAGTTTGTGTCCTGTAATCTCATAACTGCCCTCAAAAATGCCACGGGTATGACAGCTGTACCAGCGCCATGACACCTGGATGATTCGGATGGCACTGAGCAAATGGAGGTAGACTTGACGGGCATGCTGCATTCGGACCCATGACTGAATAGTGACACAGGCCCTTGTTTCTTGTGCCATCCGGCACAGAGCCTCGATGCGTCTTTTCTCCAGCTTTCTGGCCAGTATCTTTCTCCACCAGCACTGAATGATCCAAGCACTGAGGGCTGCCTTCAACAGTGTGCGGCGCACCAGGGTGCCTCGCCACCAGGCCTGGATCTTTTTGGCTGCCAGTTTTTGGTAAGAAGGAGTCTGGGATGGTAGTTTTGGCGGTGGTGGTGTTTTCTTGGACTGAGGGTGAGAAAGTAAAGAGACATTATTAAGATGTATTCCCCATTTAGCCCCAGGATACTTTTAGAAGGGGCCTGATTGGATGCTAACGGTCATCACTTCCTCTCAAGTTGAAGAACACTGTTCAGTCAACCACTGACGCAGGCGACCAGGAAAAAATGCCGGCACTATTCCATCCTGTTTCTGATCTTCTCTCTCTGCCAAGCCAATTAAGGAGCACACATCACCTTGTGCCCTGAGTCTCAACCTATAGAAGGAGAACATTTGCTCAATTTAGAGGAAGAACCTTGTGATTCAGAGGCTCCATCTGGACTGGACCACATACGAGGCCCATGGCCTCCCAGATCATCTTCCATTTGATGGGAAGCTAGCGTTCTCTGCTCACTCTGCTCGCTCCTCCTCAACCTCAGCCTGCGGCCTGATAACTCCGTCTGCTAGGTCCTAACGTTAAACTTCCTTCTCCATACAGGTTGAGATCTTTATCACTCTTACTTCTTTTGCTTCTAGTACCTTGCCCCCCCCCTCTCTCTCTCTCACACACACACACATACATGCTTCCTTGAACAATTCTGGGTGTGATCTATCCTCTGACAGCACACAGCCACAATCCAGCCCGCACACCCTACTCGCCAGCTCTTCTCAACAATATTCCTACCCTTTCTCACACACATCTCCATGCCTGAGTTCCTGTCTTTCTCAGGTCAGCAAGGCAACTGGAGACGAAGACAACCCCTGGTAAGCAACCTCATCTTTGTCCACTCTAGTTTGGAATAAGGCAGCTGCTTGTCCCAGCCAGCTGGGGACAGTCCTGGTGTCTGACAGTGGCTTTGACAGTGAACATCCAACCCTCTTTCTGACACAAGGATCCTGTTTGAGGCACAAATTCTATGACTGCACTAAGCTGTAGGGCCCAGAGAGGATCCCTGTCAGTCTGGGTGACATAGGTTAAAGATAGGAAAGCTCGCAGGTCACCTCCAACTTCGAACCACCTACCTTTGGAGCAGGCGGAGGTGTGGACTTTGAGTTTTCATTTTTCTTTTGTGGTTTTGGTTTTGGTTCTTTTTCCACAGGGATTTCTTCAGCTTTCATAACCTTTATAACCAGAGTTAAGGGGGAAGACTGTTAGTGGGTATCCTTTGAGTGGCTATGTAACTGTTTTAGCATACGCCCAGTTTTCTAGACACAGCCTCATATCCTGATTAACTAGAAATCAGTTAACTTCTACAGCCTATAACTTACCCCACATAGACAGCCCATGTTTGGAGACAGATGGTTCAAATCTCTCAGGCCTGCAATCTCTTAAATTCCCCCATGGCTGGGGTTATGATGAAGCCATCATCTCAGGTCTGTACTCCTCCTGCCAGGAGGCTGGAAGGAAGAGTGAGGGAAGTGAGCCCATGATGATGTCATAAGGGCACCCGTGATACAGGAATCAGAATGGCTTCTAAGAGTTGGGTAGGATTCCATTCATTCCTACAGAAATTCCCAAAGTTGGACTTTAAATGGGGGTGGAGACAGAAGCTAATGTTCTTCTACTGTGTTGGCAGAAATGTAACTTCAACTACTGTGAAGATGGTCTGGCAGGCTCCAATAATACCAAATACACACCCACCCTCTAACTTATGGCCCCAATCCTGCACAAACGTGAAAAATGAAAACATATCTTCAAAGTGTATACACATGGGTTGAGGTTGTAGTAAGTCGCCAAGCAAGCATGAAGCTCTGGGTTCAATCCTCAGTATTGTATAAACAATATGGGTGTGCATACTTATAATCCCAGCACGCAAGAAGTGGAGACAGAAGGATCAGGAGTTCAAGGTCATCCTCAGCTATATCCAGCAACTTGAATGTAATAAGTTTGAGGCTAGTCTAGGATATAGGAAACTAACAAAAAACAAACAAACCAACAACAACAAAAAAACTGGGTGTGTGGGTGCACACCTTTAATCCTGACACTTGGGTGGCAAAGGCAGATGGATATCTTTAAGTTTGAGGTCAGCCTAGGCTACAGAGTGAGTTCTAGGACATCCAGGACTATTCAGAGGAACCCTGTCCCGAAAACAAGCACACAAAATATTTTAGGGCATGGTAGTGCATGCCTTTAATCCCAGTACTCAGGAGGCAGAGGTAGGTGAATCTTTGCTGTGGAATAACCATTCTGTACACTGTGTGAATGAATATATGTCACTGTGATTGGTTTAATAAACAAGCTGACTGGACAACAGCTGAACAGGATAAAGTTAGGTGGGAAAGCCAAACTGAGAATGATGGGATGAGGAAGGCCAGACAGACAGAGAATGAGTTGAACATACAACATGGGATAGAGGTAAAAGCCACAAGACTTCAGGTAGCACATAGATTAATAGAAATTGGCTAAGTTGTAAGAGTTAGTAATAAGTCTGAGCTATTGGCCAAGCATTTTTAAGTAATCATAAGTCTTTGTGTTAGTTATCTGGAAGCAGGCAACTGGGACAGGAAAACTCTACCTACATATGGCAACCAGTGTCCAGGACCATGTATAGCCACATAGCACCTGAGAAAGCTTAAAAAAGGGTTTTAAAACCACAAAAAAAGTGAAATCAAGCGTGGCTTCTTGGTGACTATCTTCCCTCAGATGGGCCCTGTTTGCTAGTGCAAGCAGAGGCATGGCTCCTTTAAGATGTGGCTTCCTGGTTCATGCTAGAGGCACAGATGACTCTTTTGGGAGGTCCTGCTACTGAACACTTAAACCTATTTAGAGTTTTCCATCTGAATCTTTCTTTATTGTGTATCTGTCATCTAATTTTGATCACATGAACCTTTAAACAGCTAAGTGGCATGGCTAGGATCTCTACCTCTGTTTGGGCGGCAGGCTCTACCCTGTTCATCTTCCGAAGAGCCTAGCCTCAGGTCAGAGGTACCAGCGAGGGTCACACTTACTGCCCCAACTCTGGGAAGCTATGGGATCCATGTTTCCACCAAGTGGCACACAGCCCACAAACTTAGAGTTTTCTTAGTTAATAGATCAAAAGTGGAAGCCATCCACCTGCCTACCAGTATAGATGACAAGACAAATTAGTCCAGTCATGCAACCATCCCCAAAAAAGCCCCAGAAGTCACAATGAGCACACAGATACACAGTAGTCTAGAACAGTCTCAAATTCTGTTAAATGAAGATGCCAAGTGTAAAAGATTATCTGCCCCATGAGTTCATGTGTCTGGAATGACAAATCTAATCCACAGGCAAGAGAAGTCAGACGAGCATGTGCCGCTAAACTGAGGATATGCAGGGTAGTGTCTTAAAATAGCACAAAGAAATGGAGCAGAATACTGTAGTGTGTGGTGGTTCTGGAGGAGTTTGACAACGAGTCAAATCAAGAGCTTCATAAAGCTGCAGAAAGAGCTTGTCTCTGTACTGCCGTGGAAGGGCACAAAGGAAACACATCAAATATAAAGGACCATTGGGTCGCTGTCTGTGTTTATGTGCATGAGTTCTAAAGTCTCTATAAGACCGTGGAGGACAGAGGTAAGAAGCAGGCGCATCTTCATTGCATCCTGGACTATCTGTAGGGCTCCCATGTTATCAGCTTCCCCAGAAAGCAATATACTTGCAGGCCTGAAAACCATTAGGCCCTACCTCGGGCACAGACACCTTTGGCTGTTCTGTCTTTCTCTACCCTCGCCAGAGGCAGGTCAAGGGCAGCCACTTTGGCAGAAGCAGGGCCCTATCTCTGTCTGTTCCTGGCTCTGGAAATCCCACCTGAAGGAGAGTTTGAGCAGAAAGGCTTGTGAGTAAGGCATCAGACTCCGGTTCTGAACCTTCCAAGAAACTGTCTGGGGGTAAACTGAGGGATGCACTTGGAGTTTGTGGGAAGCTGGTGTAGGATTATGCAGGACTGTGGGAGAGTGGCAGAGATCATTTCAGGACGGGTCAATCAGCATGAAGTTGAGGGGTTGAATAGTTTTTAGGGAGCACAGGGCATCTGGAACATATGTTGAATGATAAGGGCGTTGGGCAACCCCAAAGGGCAGACTGGAGTCTCTGGATTTCTTTAGATCGCAGTCCAGAAATTTTAAAATAATTGCCTGGGGATAGCACAGTTTAAAGCGTTTGGCCTACAAGTATTAGGACGTTATTTCCATCTCCACAACCCATGTGGAAAAGCTAAGTGTGGTGTCACTGCCTTGTAATGCCAGCACTGGGAAGGCATTGCATCACAAGACAGCAGATCCCTTCGGCCAGCCTTACCTACTTGGATAGTTCCAGACAGTGAGAGACCCTGCCTCAAAACACATGGTGAAGAATTCCTGAGGATACCTGAGGTTGACCTCCGGCCTCCAAACACATGCACACCACACACATACACGTGCATACGTGTGTGCACACTCACATGAGCACACACACATTTTACTCTAGTTCACCCACGAAGAAAATTTTCAAGCCATTTGGTCAGTTCTCTCAGTTCCCGTTAGCAGGAGGTATAACCACCATTCAGCATCTTGTTATCAGAAACGCAGGTCCATCCTTCCTGCAGGTTTATGCTTTGCTTTATTTCTAATTCCTGCTTGATTGTAAACAAAATACTTGTCTGTTTAGTCAGAGCAAGCAGCAAAGGCTTCATTTTTCTTTCCTTTTCTTTTTTCTTCTTTCTTTCTTTCCTTTTTTCTTCTCTCTCTTCCTTCCTTCCTTCCTTCCTTCCTTCCTTCCTTCCTTTCTTTCTTTTTCTTTCTTTATTTTTTGAGGCAGGGTCTGACTCTATAGCCCTGGCTGGTCTCATGATAGCTGCTCCAAGCCCATGGCTTGTTTGTTTTTGTTTGTTTTGTATCTTTAAACATGGTTCCTGGAGATCAAACTCAGGTCCTTCGTGGCTTTTGTTGCTCCTGATGACAGTGTTGCTGGCTGCAGCAGTCTAGGCTGGCAGCCGTGTCCTCTCACAACTTGAAATACATGATTCCAAACCTGCCTAGCTTTTAGATTTTCTGTTGAGAATTCTCTTATTCTGATGCACCCACCTTTACTTGTGGCTTAGTGGTTTTTTTCTTTCAGTTTTCAGTATATCTTATTTGCCCTTGTATTTGGTATTTTAACTATAATGTTATTTGTACTGTACTTTCCTGGTATCTTGTGCTCTAAATGCCTTTTGAACTTGGATGAGCATCTCTTTCCTAGCCTTGGGAGACTTTCTTTTACAACTTAATTGAAAATGTCTTTTACACATTGGTCGTTAAATTTTTCTTCTGTGTCCACCATTCATGAACTTGCTCATGTCATAGTGTCCATGGATCTTGCATTTTTCATTTGTATATTTTTATTTATCTTTGTCAATGACTGGATATTCCACTTCCTCTACCTTGTCTTCAAGCCCTTACACTCTGTCCTGCTTGTGACCCATTCTATTGGTGAAACTTTCACAGAGCTTTTCATTTGACTTATCACAACATGATTTCCAATATTTCACCTATATTTTCTATACTGCTTCTCTTTATCGAGTGTTCATAGCTTGTGTTGATTTCCTTATGTCATTCATCTGTTGTATTCTCTTGGACATTTCCTGAGGACAGAAAGTGGGAAGGGACAAAAACACAGTAAGACTAGCGATTAGTATTGGGCCATAGAGGAAAAGGGAGAGGAGCAGAACGTAAGTAGAGGGGGGATGTTTGTAGTAAAAGGAGCAGTGGGCTGTGTTTCCTCCCGGATCCCGGCCGCCTGAATAGCTTATGCCTGAAATAATCACATGGAGATCTGTATTAATTAAATTGCTGCCTGGCCCATTATCTCCATCCCCTTATTGGCTAACTCTCACATATTGATCTAACCCATTTCTAATAATCTGTATCGCCACTTGACTGTGGCTTACCAGCATGAGTCTAATCAATGTCCTTCTCGGAGAGGAGAGCCTTGGCGTCTGCCACACTGCCTTCTTCCTCCCAGAATTCTGTTCTGTCCACTCCACCCACCTAAGGGCTCATCTATCAAAAGGCCAAGGCAGCTTCTTTATACAACCAATGAAAGTAACACAGACAGAAGACCCTTCTATACCAGATGTTATTAATAAGAGCTGAGGAACCTTTGTCTAAAAGTGGTACGAAAGGAGTGATCACTCAGCGTAGAAGAGTGCTTTCTCTTGGGAAGCTACAGCACAGAGACCCTATAAACCAGGCCAGGCTGTATTCGTTGGGGGTGGAAAACAGAGACAGGGGAGTGAAAAAAAGCAAAGAGGAGGAGAAGGGGGGGAGTGTAACATGGAGGGCCAGCTTGTTGGGGTTTCTATCCCGCCCGGTACCCCACAACCAGCAAGTTCCAAAGAAAATCAATCACACAGAGATCTCTATAAGGTTATAAACTGATCCGCCCATTTGGTCAGGCTACTTATTAGCTCTTATAACTTATGTTACCCCATTATCCTTATCTACGTTAGCCACATGGGCTCAGTACCTTTCTCAGCGTGACAGCTTACATGTTGCCTCTTCGGTGGTCTGCGCAGGAGTGGCAGAGGAACCTCCCTGCTTCCCAGAATTCTCCTGTTCTCATTGCATCACCTCTACTTCCTGTCTGGTTTTCCCGCCTATACTGCCTGCCTGGCCAAACAGCGTTTTATTAAAATATGATTGACAGAATACAGACAATTCTCCCGCATCAGGGGAAGAAGAGAAAAAGGAGGAGAGAGAAGAAAGGGGAGGAAGAAAAGAGGGAGGAGAAAGAGGAGAAGGAGGGGGAGAGGAGAAAGACGGGAGGAAGAGAAGAGGGAGGAGGAAGAGGAAAAGGAGGGGAGAGGAGAAAGGGGAGGAAGAAAAGAGAGAGAAGAGAGGAGAAAGGGAGGAGGAGGAGGTGGCAACACAGGAACAGAACAGGATGGGCCTGGACTGTTAAAGGAGTAAATCACTTAAAGGGTGCAGTGTATGAATGCTGCCTTGTCTGCTGGATTCGATCTTGAGTCTCTTGGCATGCCTTTCCTGACACGTGGAAATCTGTCTCGCCTCAGGCATTCCTTTGTGAATATGTCAGTGTGTGGTAGTTTCAGGTCCCATTAATCCCTAAACGGTTGTCACTAGAGCAGTGATTGCTTTTATACGGCTATTACTGTACTTTCTTTTTTATTTTAATATTTGATTAAATTTGTCCTCCGGCAGTTTCATACACACATATACTTCATTCCGATCACTATGCCTTCACAGTGGATCTTCTTTTGAGAGATCGGATTACAGACGCTGGTCTGGTCCGTGGGTGGTGCATCACAGATCTGAACACATCCTTCCGGAGTCCAGATGAGAATGCATGTCCTGCTCTATAGTTAGACTTTCTTTGAACCACCATAATCCAAATAATGGCATGGAAACTTCTTGTTAAGTATGAAAGCTTGGCCTTAGCTTAGGCTTGTTCCCAACAAGCTCTAAAAACTTAAATTAGCCCTCTGTATTAATCTACACTCTTCCATGTAGCTCATTACCTCTCTTCCATACTGTATGTCCTACTTCCTCCATGTCTGGCTGGCGAATCCCACCTCTCTTCTTCCCACAGTTCCTTTCTTTCCCTGGAAGTCCTGCCTATCCTCTCCTGCCTATTGGTCATCCAGCTCTTTATTAAACCAATCAGAAGGTGCCTTGGCAGAGATGCATCTTCATAGTGCAAAAAAGATTATCCAACAGCATTGCTTCTGTGTAATCCTTCCCAAATTTAAGCTGCTTGGAGCCTGTGTGAGTTTCCTTCCAGACCTTGGCTCTGACCAGGTTTCCAGCTCACCAAATTCTTAGCTCTCATTCAAAGTGTCTTTCCTGGAATCACACAGTTCTGTTGGCCAGGCTTTAGCGTATAATCCCTGGCACTTACTCTGAGTTCCTCAAGACTGTGATCTGGTTCTGCTGGGCCACTGACAAGAAGGGGATCTATGAACTTACCTGGCGCAAGTGAGAAGGAACCACAAAACACACAACAAACCCACTGAGGAGTTTATTAGAGGGGGCGTGCATAGGCCTGGGGAATTGGTGTGCAGAGATGGTGTATCCAGCTTTTAAAACCTGCCTAGCATATAGGCAGAAGGGGTTGATGTGGCTATGTCATATGCAGATAACGTAGATGACGGGGCTCACATATGCACACAAGGACTTAGCAGAGTCATACGTGGATGTAACCACGCATGGGGGCACGTGAGTCACATGGGGCCCTTTAACATTCAGGCACTTCTGCCTGAGGGCTTGTCTTCACGTGCATGGCTCTAGAACCCGGAAGTGCAGCCTTATTTGTGGCTGAATAATTGCAGTCTATTTATTTATTTATTTTATTTATTTATACTTATTTATTTATTATCTTCTTGAGAACTTTATATATAAGCACTGCATTTAAATAATTCCAATCCCTCCCTCTCTCCAGCTCCTCCTGTGCTCCTCCCCTGCTCCCAAAGTCACGACCTTTACAGAAGGGGTCTTTTTGAAGTGGCATCTTGCCACTGCTCTACTGAATGCTGGGTTTTAAGTACAAAGTGCTGAGATCCAGTGCCAAGAAGTCCCCCCTATTTTTCTGTTCCTGAAAATTCCCAATACGGAGGCACAGTGTAGTCGGGCATTGTGGCACACACCTTTAATTCCAACATTCAAAGATATAGGCAGATCTCTGAGTTCAAAGCCAGGCTGTTTTGCAGAGTGAGTTCCAGGACAGTCAAGGCTACAAAGAGAAACCCTGTCTTAAAATTAAAATTCAAACCAGAACAAAAAACAGAGCACAGGTTTTCTGAACCTTCCTGTGTTAAATTGTGGCTCCTGTGCCTGCTCTTGGGAGGGAGGGAGGGGAGAGGGAGAGTGAGAGGGAGGGAGGGATAGATGGATGGTGGGAGGGGTGGATGGAAGGAGTACATCACTTTAAAGTCAATCCCTTGGGGACATACTCTGGATTTGCCCTCCTGCAGTATTAAGATTACAGTTGCCTGCACCAGCTAAAGTATTCAGGGACCACCCACCTGAATGGCTGTTCTCCAGCGTTCCCAGTTTATCACCTGGGAGACAGTGTCTGCTATTGTCTGCCGGTCTCCTAACCAGAACTCTTTCTATTTCTGTGGTCTACAGCATTCCAACAGTAATGAGAGTTATTATTGATAACATGACAGGGCATCTCAGGTTTCTAGAACACTCTTTTCAATGTCATGCTCATCCAGTGTAATTTCAAGAAGGCTTAGTATTGCTTATTTGGCAATGATTCTCACAGAATGTAACATCAAGCCTTACTAGTTAAAGTCTTTTTCAAATATTTTATATACTTATTTCACAAAAAATTATGTGTATGAATGTTTGTCTGCATGTATACAGTATCACATGTATACAGGATCACATGTATACGGTGCTTCATGGGCAAGAAGAGGGTGTCAGATCCCCCAGAATGGAGCTGACTGGTGGTTGTGAGTCACCATATGGGTAAAGGGAATCAAACCCAGGTCTACTGCAAGAGCAGCAAGTGCTCCTAACTGCTGAGCCTTTCTCTGGCTACTATCTTTTACAAATCATTGGAGACACTTTTTGGGGCCAGAAACTAACCCAAAATTCGTTTGAGATCAAAAGATTTCATATAGAACTTGATTTGGAAAGATTTGTCAGAAATGTCAGAAGGTTTAAACCATTTCCTTACGGACTGGACAGGCAGCTTAGCGATTAAGAGCCTTTCTGCTCTTGCAGAGGACATGGTGGCTGGTAACCAGATCAGATGCCATCTTCTGGCCTCTAAAGGCACTGGGCATGTGCACAGATCTACAACCAGGCAAAATACCCATACACATAAAATGAAAATAAATTGAAATTTTTTTAAAAAATTTCACTAAACAGGATCATAGTCATTTTGAAACAGGCAAATACAGAAAAATTACATATTTGTAAGATACAATACACAGTGCTTTAGAAATTAAGGATCTCATTTTGTGTTAAATCTCAAGTTTCTTAGAACTGAGGAAAAGGGTATTACATGTGACATTGCAGTCTTCCTTGTTGCACGGCGACTTATAAGAGACTTGGGGAGAGGGTGTGACCCACATCAAAATAACCAAGAATTTCTTTTCTCAGAAACCTCTTTAGGTAACTGAAGTGGGTCTAAGCCAGTTTCCTTTGTGTGCCGCCCATGAAGCTGTGGTTTGCTCTGACATTCCCCATGACTGGCATCCACACCCCCTTTGACTGGCATCCTCTACTTAGTAAGGATGAAGAGAAAGAAGAACAGAGAGCAGGAGCAGTAGAGGTAGAGAGACATCTAAAGAGAGGGCAGTTCAGATGAGCTGAGATAACCATGCCTCCAGAGCCGACTGGCTCTGAGAGAATTGTTCTGGAGCAGCGAGGAAGCTGTTCCTAGAGAGCAGGGTTCTATCCATGGCGGAGCCACAAATCCAGGTCCTCTGTGGAATCATGAATTGTGGATTCAAGTGCTAAAGAAATGCTTATTGTGACTGTTATGGTAAGTGCAACCCAATTAAAGTAATTATCAAATATTGAATAGGCAGGCATTTGTTCAAATAGATACACCACAAATGGCCACCATTCATAAAAGAATGCTCAAAACCTTGAGTTTTACAATCCCATGTCTGGTGGGGTTGGAAACTGCTAATTATTCATAGTGACATGATTTGTAAGAGCCCAAGTGCAGACAATCCGCCCATCAAGTGGTGAGCGTAAAACTGTGATCTATTCACACATCGGAGTGGTTTGCAGTATTGATGCACAAGGATGATCTATAGTTGTGATCCTGAAACTTGCTCTGTGGACCGGGCTGGCCTTGAACTCAGAGATCCACCTGCCTCTGCTTCCTGAATGCTGGGACTAAAGGCGTGCGCCAACACGCGCACCTTCCCTGCCACTCCGTAACTGTAATTTTGCTACTGTTATGATTCATAATGTAAATATCTGATATGAAATCCCCAAAGGGGTCAAGACCCACAGCTTGAGAACCACCACCCTAGGGGACCAGGAGACAAGCTCCACGTGCTGAACGGGAACAAGGCTGGCATGCTCTGCGTGAGACACTTAATGACTGGCCGAGTGTCCAAGAGGACACTGGGAGAGTTTGAAGGATGTGGCTACTCCATGTACAGTTGTGGACGTGGGCAGGGCTGTCAGGTTTGTTCTAAGTAGATGGGGAGACCTCAGAGGATGATGAGACAGTGGCATATTGACCAGTTAAGGGGAGCGGGCATCTAGCAGTGTTCCTGGTGACTTTATTCCAACTCTCCAGTCACACAGTCACTGCTAAGCAGACACAGGCACTGTTGTGGTCCAAGGCTCTGACATCCTCCACCCTGGGAGCTTAGACACGTGCTGTTGCTGTCAAAGCAAGCTTGTGTGGAGCATTGTGTCTGCAAGCATTGTGCAGATTTGCTGCTGAACAGGGATGTCAAGTGGGTTGTGTAACAAAGACCCAGTGGCGTCTGTTAGAAGACCTGATCAGTTCTTTATTGGCAAGGGTATGCAGTCTGATATACGACAAACCTGTGATCCCAGAAAGATGTCAAGCTGAAGACTTAGTTGGTTCCCTATAAGTTCATAGCAACCCTGGAAAAAGCCACGGGTATGGCAGCTGTACCAGCGCCATGACACCTGGATGACGTGGGTAGCGTAAAGCAAACGGCAATACTGCTGACGGCTTTGCACCATTCGGACCCATGACTGAATAGTGACACAGGCCCTTGTTTCTTGTGCCATCAAGTGCAGGACTATCAGCCGTCTCTTCTCCAGCTTTCTGGCCAGTATCTTTCTCCACCAGCACTGAATGATCCAAGCACTGAGGGCAGCCTTCAACAGTGTGCGGCGCACCAGGGTGCCTCGCCACCAAGCCTGGATCTTTCTGCTGGCCTTCAGTACTTTCTTAGATGAAGGTTGTCGATGTGGCTGTTGTAGGGTGTAAGGTAAAGAATGGTTTCAGTTTTCAAGGGTATAGATACTGATAAATTACATCTTTAACGATGTAAATAAGCCCCGTCCTCAGTCCCTCCTCATGCAGTCACACACACACGCGAGAGAGAGAGAGGGGGGGGGATAAGAGAGAGCAAGAGACACTATGTGATCAAAGTACATTATATAGATTATAGATTTACATGAGAAAAGAATAAAGCTATAGTAAGAGAATCTAGAGAACACATTCTCCACGGTGTTCTCTGTTGATGCCCTGGTCCTGTGTCACTAAACATGGATGCCTCTCAAGTTCTTGAGCATGAGGCAGGGCAACAGAATGAGCCACAAAGGCAGGAGGGCCTACTACCAGAGCTTGGTCCCCTTTCTGCTGTATCAGGCAAAGATACCTTGTCACCTTAACCCTAAGTCCCTATGTCCCCATTTATAGCATGTGCTACATTAATTCTGGTAAGTTTTTTTTTTAAATTTTATATGTATGAGTGTTGGGCCTGCATGTATGTTCATACCATGTGTGTGCTTGGTGTCCTCAGAAGTCAGAAAAGGACATCAGGTCCCCAGGAAATGGATTAACAGGCAAGTGTGAGCTGCCATGTGGGTACTGGAAACTGAACCCAGGTCCTCTGGAAGAGCAGCCAGTGTTCTTAACCACTGACCCATCCCTTCAGCCCCTCACTTAGGTATCTATGAACCTGGCTGGCCAATCTAGAGCAAGAGCCTTGTAATTTATAGACTCTTTCTGGGCAGGACCACAATCTGAGACTGGGATTTCCTAGCAGGAATTTTCAGGCAGCTGGCATTCTTTTCTCTCTGCCTTCCCTCTCTACTGCAGCCACCAATGTCCCCTGGTTAGGTCCTAATATTAAACTTATCTTCTCACACAACTTGGGGTCTGACCTCATCTGTTTCTCACTTTTACTTCCAAAACCTTTAACTTCAGTTAACACAACCATATCCACACTCTTACACAATCCTGGATATACAAGTTCTTCTGTTTAGATATGTTCCCCAAACACAGATCTCACACCCCACTCCCCAGTTCACAGGGCATTATTCTCAGTCTCTGGGGTTCCCCCACTCAAGACATCTTGTCTCAGGTAGATAAGAAGACAGTCAAAGGAAAACAACCTTTGTCCAACCCATCTTGGATAGGGAAAGTGGTTTGTGATGGTTGCTTTGAGTCAGCATCCCAACCTCTTGCTCACACAGGTCTGTGTGGAGCATAAATTCCATGACCCTTCTGTGGGGAAAACCACCATAAGTCTGGGTGGCATAGGTCAAAAACACGGCAGATCAGGGATACCTCTAACCTTGAGGCCTCGCACTACTATCTTTGAAGAGGATGGAAGCATTGACTTTTTTTCCTTTTTCGGTTTCTGTTCTATTGTTGACTGTGATAGTTCCGTGATTGTGTAGACTTTTTCAATTTCGATGTCACACCAACCATTCCCCTTCTATAACCAGAATTAAAGGAGAAATCTGTGAGTGGGTTATTAGTTGAACAATTACATAACCATTTAAGGACATGCCCAGTTTCCTCGGGTCCCCAGCATCCCTAGACACAGCACTTATTTCCTGATTAACTAGGAATTCACCTTCAATAGCCTACAACTTACACTACATTGAGAGCCCATGACTGGAGACAGATGGTTCAAATCTCCCAGGCCTGCAATCCCTTAAATTCCCCCATGGCTGGGGCTATGATGGAGCCATCATCTCAGGTCTGTACTCCTCTTGCCAGGAGGCTGGCAGGAAGAGTGAGGGAAAGGAGCCTGTGATGATGTCATAAGGGCACCCATGATACAGGAATCAGAATGGCTTCTAAGAGTTGGGAAGGATCCTATTCATTCCTACAGAAATTCCCAACATTGAGCTACAAGATCAGGACACTGGTTTATTGAACAGAGGTGACAAAAATCTTAGTTATTTTGATCCAGTAGAAATATTAAAATTAGTGCAATCTGACATATCAACAGGGCTTTCAATACATGAATTTCAGCTCAGTCACACAGTGGATCTAAATAATAAGCCTATGACAAAATACATAGCAGGTGCTTTGCAGAAGGAGATTCGTGAATGGCTCCTGAAAATATGTCCATACTAGAGAAATGAGGTAAGAAACGGGCAGCCTTAAGTGGGGGCGCTGGCAGAAAGTAAGAGCAGTCTTCCATTCTGTTGGCAGAAGTGTGCCCCAAACTACTACTGTGGAATATGCCTTGGCGGTTTCCAATAATGCCAAATCATCACCCACCCTATAGCCCAAGGTCCCACTCCTGGGAACAGATGGGAAATGAAAATGTACAGTCTGAGGTTTGTAGTTCAATCCCCAGTATTCTATAATTTTGATGTGGGTGTGCATACCTGTAATCTCAGCACTCAGGAAGTAGAGAAGGATCAGAAGTTCAAGGCCTTCCATTCTCAGCAACATATACCAAGTTTGAGGTTCTCTTGGTTATAGCAGACACAATCCTAAAATACACACACATGCACACACACACACACACACACACACACAGATGTCAAGATGTCTCAGTGAGTTAAGTGCTTGTCATACAAGTCCAAGGTCCTGAGTTCAATCTCCAGATTCCACGAAGAGGTGGAAGATGAGACCTGAGTCCACACAACTGTCCTGTGACATCCACACAGGCACTGCAGCATATTCACCCCATGAAAAAGAAAATGTGTCCATGGCAGTTTTATTTTTGATCAAAAGAGGAAGCAACACGACTGTCCACCAGCATAGGTGACTAGAAAAATAATCATATTTGTATATCTAGCAGTGGCAACAGGCACACAGACACATAGTGATATAGTGTGCTAAATGAACCCAGTGTGAAATATTATCTGCCAAATGACTCCTTGGATGTACGATGATAAACCTAATCTATGGGCAGAGAAATCCCACCACCATTTACAGCCCCAGTAAGGATATAAAGGGAGTGCCAGAATTAACACAAGGAAGTCCAGAGCAGTAGACTGTCTGTCTGGGGTGGGGAGACAGCTGGAGGACTCACCAACTCAGATGCTTCATGAAGCTGCAAAGAAAGCTTGCCTCTGTACTGTTGGGAAAGAGTACCGGCTAAACACAGCACATGGAAGGACGGCGTGTGTTTACGTATCACTAAAAAAGAAAGGGGGCAGAGCATGGAGGCTCTTGCCTTTAATCCTAGCATGCAGAAGGTAGACAGACAGATGTCTGTGAGTTCCAGGCCAGCTGTGGTTAACCTTGTCTCAAAAAACAACAAAGGACTCTTGAGAATATCCAAGGCTAGCTTTAGGTCTTTGATGGTCTGGACACTCAATCAATCTATACCTAGGCATTAAATAATTTTATGTGTATGTGTATGATGTGTATAGGCACACGTGTGCCATAGTATGTATATGGAGGTCAGAGGACAACTTGCAGGAGCCGGTTCTGTCCTGCCATGTGGGTTCCAGGGACTGGCCTCATGTCATCAGATTTGGTGGGAAGTGCCTTTACCAATGAGCTAACTGGACAGTCAGAGGCTTTTTCTTCCTGCTTCCAGTGATTTATTTTTGTCTTTTCTATGCATTGTTGTTGTGTCTGTGTGAAGGTGTCAAGTCCCCTGAAACTGGACTTACAGACAACTGAGAGCTGCAATGTGGGGCCTGAAACTAGGTCCTCTGGAAGAGAGCCCACTACACTTAACCCCTGAGGCATCGCTCCTGCCTCCTCGTTTCTTTATTTCCTTTCCTTTCCTTTCCTTTCCTTTCCTTTCCTTTCCTTTCCTTTCCTTTCCTTTCCTTTCCTTTCCTTTTCTTGTTTTTCTTTCTTCCTTTTCTTTTTCATTCATTCTTTCTTTCTTTTCTTTCTTTCTTTCTTTCTTTCTTTTTTTTTTTTTTTTTTTGAGACAGGGTCTTGTAACTCTGCATGGCCTGGGACTAGTTATGTAGATGGAGCTGGCCTCAAAATCTCAGAGCTCCATCTGCCTCTCAAGAGCTGGGAGTAAAGGTAAGCCCCACTAAGGCCAGCAGCTGGTTTTGTTCTTTAATGGCGGGTGTGTTCCCTGGCAGGCTCACAGAGCAACCGCTAGTCCAACAAGGATGGCTGTGGGTCCCTGTAAGATCTCCAGGGTGGCAGGCTGGTCCCGCCATGCGGCAGGTGAGTCATGCAGGCAGATACAGCGGATAAAAGGCTCACAGGACATAGTAAATAGACATAAGCCTAAGAATAAGCTAAATATTTATTACTTAAAGAAGAGGGAGACAGAGAGACATGGAGATAAACATAGAGAGAGATAGAGACACGTGTGCACACGCTAAGAGACAGGAAACAAGAGAGAGGGTTAAGATGGCGAGGAGGGAGGTCAGAAGTGGCTGGGAGTGGGCGTGGTTAGGGCTTAAAGGGACCAGACCCAAAGGAATAACATTCCTGGATCCTTTTTATAATAAAAAGTAAAAGGCTAGACATTACAGTTTGAAGGAATTGGGGCGGCAAATTCTCAAGACTGCTTCCGGCTAATTTGTGGGTGTCGTCTTTGGGGGGGGTGGAGAGATCCGAGAGAAGGCTGGGCACTGGCCACATCCTGGCATAGTTGGTCTCTGCTCCATGGAAATGTTTGATGTCCCTTGTACCTGGTTAGGGTATTGGCAGAACAGAGGACAAAGTTAAATTAAGAAAAAAAACATTTTTAGGACCAGGGAATTGAGGGGTTTGTATCTGACCTATTTATGGTGGGTTTTTAAAATTTTGTTTCCTGGAACTCATAAGAAAAATAGAAGTTTTAAACATATAATGGCTGTGGTATATTTTTGTACAATGAAAAATATTTTTTATTTGGTGGGGCAACCTGGCAAAACCTCTCAGCTATCAAACTGTCAGAGATCTTTGAGAAGGATAAGATTTTACTTGAGTTACTGATTAAAAAATGACACAGAACTTACTTGGTTGGCATCTAGAGCTACTCTTTTGGGTCCTCCCTGGTCGCTGAAGATTGCATTTGACCTTTACTGTTTAGTGCAGAGCCTGTCAGGCTTTAGAAGACCCTGTGGGCTAAGAAATCTGTATGAAGACAGGCCTACCTTACCCGGGCAGCTAGGCTGTCGATTCCAGTGATTCTGTCCACATCTGGAGGTCTCCAGTTTAGGTGAAAGGCAGTTTTTGCCCAATGGTCAGCGCTTGGCAGTTGAAGCGAACTGCAGATGGACGTTGGTTTGTCTTCTGTCTTCTTGGAGGAAACAGAGTGCTTGCTAGGAGCCAACCTGTCTCTTTTTGTTATGAAAAGCTTTTTAAATAATTAAATATTTAAATATCACATTCCCCAGATCTCTGAGCAGTTGACGCTGTTTATTAGGTATAGCTGTAGTATAGAATCTGTCTGGAAGGTTGGGTTTGAGTTTGACTGTACTGACTCTTAACAGGTAAGATCCATATTTGTAAAAAGACAGAAAGAAAGAAAAAAAAACTTGGGTCTTCTCTTTCTTTTCATTACTTTGGCTAAGGGTTTGACAATCTTGTTTAAAGAACCCACTCTTGATTTCATGGATTATATTTTTTGTTCCTACTTCACCAATTTCTATGCAATTTCAATACATCTTTATCTTCATTATTTCTCCTTATCTGCTTTGGGGTTTGGTTTGTTCTTATTTTTGCAGTATGTTAAGGTGCATGATTAGCTTAGTTACTTGAGATGAGATCTCGCTGATTTTTATTTTTTTAAATGTAGGCACTTAGAGCTATAAACCTCCATATTTTTTTCTTCTTTTTGGTTTTCCAAAACAAGGTTTCTCTATATAACAGTACTAAAGTACTGAATGTCTTGGAACTGGCTCTGTAGACCAAGCTGGCCTCGAACTCACAGAGATCTGCCTGCCTCTGCCTCCCAAGTGCTGGGATTAAAGACGTGTGCCACCACTGCCAGCATAAGCATCCTCCTTAAGACTGCTTTAAATTCTTTAAATCGTCCCCCGTTGGAGTTGGTATGTTGCATTTTCATTAAGTTCTAAAAATTTAAATTTTTTTCAATTCTTCTATGACCTACTTATTTAATCGAGTTATTTAATCACCATGGGCTTCTAAAACTTCTTTTAATTTTTATTGATCATATTTGTTTGACAGTTTCATACGTGTGTTTAATCTATTCTGATCGATATCTTCTCCATCTTCTATCCTCTTTCCTCACTCAGTGACCCCCTCTCAATCCTTCCCTCAAGCTAATGCCTTTTTGATTGACCATGGCTATTAGCCTGGCCTTGGGCTATGTGGGTCAGCCTGCTTGGCACTCCACAGGTCTATGTGCCTCCCCGCTCTGCCAGCCCATGTTGATTTTCCCTTTAGTGTGTGTGTTTGTGTGTGTGTACATGAGCACACATATAAGTCGTGAGAGCATGTGTACTTCTGTGAGTATGGATAGGTTAGAGGACAAGTTTTAGGGGTCAGTTTTCTCCTTGCTCTATGGGGATCCTGAGACTAGATCTCAGGTATCAGGATCAAGAGCCATTATTCACCGAGCAACCTCACTGGGCCCCTGGTTTTTTGAAACAGAATCTTATTAAGTAGTTCATTTTGACTTGGAACTCAGTATGGAACCCAGGTGTGCAGTGGTTTGAATGAGAATAACTATACTGGAATTTTTGTTTTCTGTAGGAGCCAGCCATGATAAGCTAAATATGAAACCCAAAGGAAGTTCTTTTTTTAAAATTTTATTGATTTTTATTGAGCTCTACATATTTCTCTATCCCCCTCCCTGCCTCTCCCCTCCCCTTCTCAACTCTCTCCCAAGGTCCATGCTCCTAATTTA